ATATTACAATAAATATGATATCGCATTTATAATCACCGATCGCGCGACTTGAATTGCAAAAGCTAATTGCAAAGATTTTTTAAAATACAAATCGAAATATTGATACGTGATGAAAGCATTTTCGCCCTCTGGTTGTGGATACAACAGAGCTACGCTATGCCCTAATCTATCAAATTGCATATCAATTTAAGGGGAGAAAAATGAGGAGCACTCAACCGAATCTCTCCAAGTTATCATTATATTTAAAATATAGCGGAAAAAAAATAATTAAAATCGAAATATTGATTTGTTAAATATTGCTTATAGTGAAAAAATATTTTACATTTTTCAAAATAAAATCCAAAATTATTCAATTTTTTAATTGAATTCAATGAGTACTTATGAAAATTAGAATCAAGATAAAATGATCATTTAAATTACAAAAGTCCTCCCTCATTAGATAAGGAAGGAGAATTTATACCATTAGATGTAACAGCTGTTAATGATATAACGGGAGGTAAATGAATGTAAAATATAGCATTTGAATTGGTAATATATTTATTTAAGCTGATCTCATTGATATTATTATTTAGCTTATCTCATTGATAGTGACAATACATTGGATGATATAATTAATCTCAAAAGTCCTGTATTAATGTTACTGAGTCTTGTAATTTATAATTTCTAAAAATATATTATTTATATTGAAGGATTTATATCTTCTGTTGAATCTTGTAGTTCATATTATAAATGTCCTAAGAGAAACTTTAATGACATTAGTAATTTATTATTTGCTTTATAAAAATATTTAAAACTTATAAATTGAGAAGAGGAAAGAATACTAGATGCTTTAAAAACTGAATATGGCATATGTCTTATATTAAGAGAAAATTGGATAAATGTACAGAAAAGCAGGAAAATTTAATCGATGAAATATATGATGTTCTATGCAATTTTAATCTATAATATTTATGTATAAATAAATAAAATTATTTTGTATATATTTATATTATTTGAAATAGATATTATATATATTATTTAAAATAGATATTTATATTATTTAAAATAAAATATATTTTCATTTGATACCTTATTTGCTTTTTTTAAATAAAATTTTATACTAGCTTTTTTTAGTGACATATTCCTATTTTATAAAGAGTTTAGACTATATTAATAGTACATTTATATTTATTTAAATATATATAAAATACAAAATAAGATATAATTTATAATAAATATATTATTATTCCATAATATTTATAGAATTTTTGAATAAATATAAGCATAATAAATTTCTATTAAATTTTGTAATAAGTGTTTTCCATCAATAATACTCACACAATTAGGTAAATTCCACTTTATTTCAAGCTCCTTTTAAATAATAATATACATATATATAATATACACTATATTACACCTTTGCTAATCTCAGTCAGTGAGTATATGTAGTGGCATATGAATGCCAACTAAGGTTTGCCATGTAACTAGGCAAGTTTTCATAATTTTTTGGATGACTGAAACCCCCATTTTGAAGGAATAGGCTAAAGTAGGATATCTATAGTCAGTGGCTAAATACTGAAAGTACTTTATTATTAAATAAGAGAAACCATGAGTCTTTCAACATTGATTATAGGATATTTAATAAAATTTGTGGCTGTTGTGTATAAAATGATTTTTGTTTTAGTATGTAATTAAAAGTTTCCTATATTATATAGAATTAAAGATAAAATAGAATTAATAAAAACTTTGGCCATTTCCATATATTAAAAAATTTATCCCCTTTTCTTGATGATTTTGTATAAAAATGATGATAATTTGAATCATATTTATGAATTAATTAAATAGCTTTGCAATATGAATGAAAATCGCATGAATTCAGGGTTAGAAATATTAAAATAATTATTTTATATTAAATTATGGATTGCTTAAACTTTTGAATGCTAGAATAATATTAAAAGATTGTTAGATCAAATCCCTTATTGATAAAATTTAGAATATTTATTTGATCCGAGAAACTTTATAATAAAGAAATTAGTAAAAATTATCATGAGCAATTAAGGTATTTCAATAATAAAATACATTTTTGGTTTGATTTTAAATCCCTAATGTTAATTGTGTTCATTTAACATGATTTATTGTAATGTTAATAATGTTAATTGTGTTCAATTAACATGATTTATTGTAATGTTAATTTAAAATTATGATCAGTTGAAATAATTTATTTTAATGTTAATTGAGTATTAATT